TTGAATTGAGAAGATTAATAACTTCTTCTATTGATAATATAGGCGGAAATATTGATGTTCTGTTTATATTAACGATTAAGTCGCTCATTTTGTATTTTTATGAATATTTTTGTTTAAAAAAATAAATGGGTATATTGAATAAAGAATAAAAAATAAAGAACAAATTTTAAATAGACGCATAAATATAGAAAATTCTATATTATCGGAAAGAAGATTTTTTTTTTTTCAAGCACTCAAATATGAAATTTTTTGAAATATAAAAAAATTAATAGGTATATTGAATAAAGATGAATTTTGAATAGACGCACGCAAAATACAGAAATTCTTTATTATCGGAAAGAAAATTTTTTCAAGCATTTAAATAAGTAAATTTTGAACTGACCGATTGCTGATATAAAAGATAAATGAAAACAATTCGGTGGTACTTAACATTAGCTGAAGGGCGTATAACGGAGCCCTGAACCACTAAAGATGTCAGATATTAGCAAGCAATTCATGAACCCTTTTTTGTATAAACAGTTATAACATTTGTAATGTTTCAATGATAATGTTTATTCCAAATTCATAGGCGAATCAATTACTTGCAAACACCAATAACCTGAATAATTAAAATAAAAATCAGCTTAATTGTCCTGATTAAAGAATAAACAATAAATAATATGATTTCCAGGTTATCTCTGATCTCTTGAATATGAATAATATCCATAATTTGGATCTGGTGTGTCATTATTACGTTTCACCTAGATGTGCTGAAATTTTAATCGTTAATAAAGCTTTAATATTTCAAAAGTGGTAATGAAAGTTTAATTAATAGAAGAAAAATATAATGGTATTAAAATTTTAATTAATAAAAGCAGAAAAATGTTAGCTGTAAAAGCTGTTTGTATTGTAATAATTCATTAATTTTTTTTTTATTTGTATTAGTAATTTATATTTGGATTATATTGTAATAAAAAAAAATTTTAATAAATACGATCAAGTAAGGCTTATCCTTATTATAGATTAGCTTTAGGTTAAATTTTTGAGTGGTTGAAATTCAATGTGCGCATGGCGCATTTGCAACCAATTGACAACTTTACTGTTTCGGTTATACAGTTATACAATAACAAAACTGCAGAGCATCAAAGTTTAAAAATAGTTCTTATAGCATGAATTACTTTCTTATTTTAATATTTGACCTCCAAAAAAAAGGTAGAAGAGTGAACCCCGAAAAAAGTGATCTTTTTTTTTTACTATTTCCTTGGATTTAATACCATTGACTCATTAATCAAAGACCATTATTAAGTTTATTAATTCCAGAATTGGTAATTTAGTATAATAATTTTGATTAATGCATTAATTTATTAATTTAGTACAATAAGTTTGATTGATGAATTAATTTATTAATTTAGTATCAAGCTAGTTTATCATCTTATTGTATAACATTAAATTACGATAACCGTTTTTGGTATATTTAGTGATAATAAGAATAGTTTTATTGTTGGAGTTATTCGCTACTTTAAATTTATTATATTTCATGCTAATTTATGCTTAATAAACATAAGAAATAAGGCAAAGTTCATACAAAGTTACATAATCACGTTATTTGGTTCTTTTATGTTTGATATTTAAGAATTTCTGAGTTAAAATTTATAGATTAATTCGTGATTATTCGCTAGAAATGGAAAGGATTTATATAATGGTTTTTTAGTCGTTAAAAAAAAGGCATTTCTCTTTATTTTATTTGAAACTAAAAAATATATTTGAATAAGAACCATTACTTTTATGAAGTTAATGGAGAAAGGGACTTTCATAAGATAGTTATTGTGATATTCCGGAATGAGATTATGGTTCTTATATGTAGATCTCTTTATTAAATAAAATCTAAAATGAGATCAGATCAGTTACATTACATTTTTGCTTAAACGGACCAATCACTAAAATACAAACATTACAATTCTTTGCATGATATTATGCGTCATATGAAATAAATAATAACAACCCTGAAAAAAATTTACCAACAATAATTCCATAATTCATTATTACATTGATAATGCTGTACCTTCTTTATTTATAGAATTTTTTTTAGTTGATCACATTTTTTTCTCGGTGACACAAAGATTTCGGTTCGAATAATTATTATTCCGAATTCAAACCGAAATTTCGGTTTAACTGATCCGTTTAGATATATATAATTAAATTAATTGTTATTTTGAAAAACAGATCTTTTACCTGGAGCAAAAAGACCTGTAATGTATTATCCTTATTTTGGACCAAATAATACTTACCAAAGTTTAATTTTCCCTTCAAATCATCCAATTTGTCCTAATAAACTAAAAAAAAATTAAACAAATATCAGTAGAATGGAATTTATGACCAACAAATCATGAAAATTTAAACTTGATTGTAATCTTTGTAGTGCAAGTAGGTTGTCATCAATGCAATCAGTTTTAAAAATTGAAAATCCAAAATTTAAAATGCAATTGAAGAATGGAGAAACAATATATTTTTATCCTAAATATCATTGTGAGCTAAATTAAGTTGAAATGTATTGGGGAGCTGCTAAAAGATTTGCATGGGAACATTGTTATTATACATGGGTTAGATTACAAAAAAAAAGTTACTGAAGCTTTAAATTCTGTACCTTTAATTACAATTAGAAAATTTGCTCAAAAATCCTGAAGATATATGGATGCTATTAGAAAAGGTTTATAAATACCTAATGAAAACTTTAATGAATTAAAAGATTCCTTTTAATTAAATAAATTTTAATGAAAGAGCAAGTCAATATCTATAATCATTATCGGTTAAAATTTATATTTTAAGTCTGCGTCACAATCCTTAATATTTTAAAGTTGACCTTATTTGTGAGTAAAATTTTGGTTATACTTTGGCTGTACTGTTTTATCACTTAAACAAATCATTTACCGATTTATTCAAAATCCTTTAATTCCTTGATTAGAACATGCTCTAATAATTATACTCATTAGAAGAATTTATTTTTATAGAGCTTCATTTAGTTTAAGTTGAAAATTTAATCTCCATCTCAAAAATATTATCTTTCATTGTATTTTCAAATTTACATAATCATTACCAATATTTTATTTATTATAAACAATAAATATTTTAGGAAAAAAGGAAATAAATCATTTAATTTTCGCCGATTTTTTCACGGACGTCCGACGTAAAACACGAATAACTCCGCGAATATCGATGCTACCTCATAAGGAAATTTTATTAGGCGAAAATTTGCGCAAATTTTCAACATCTGCGCAAAATTGCACAAATTTTTTTCTATATTTTTTTTCGTTTTTTTCAAATTCGTTCGTAATTTTCGAGGTACAGAGCGATTTTCTACTAAAATATTTCTAAGATAGAAAGTAAGGCCTTGTTTTAGGCTACAGAATAATATGTATTTTATTCCTGTAGCATCAATATTCGCGGAGTTATTCGTGTTTAAATCGACGTCGTGAAAAACCGGGCGAAAATTTGCGAATTTTTTCGACTCGAATTTCGCCCGATTTTTTCACGGACGTCCGACTTTAAACACGAATGACTCCGCAAATATTGATTTTACCAGAGAGAAACACATATCATTATGTAGCCAAGAACCAGGCTTTTCTTTCTATCTTAGAAATATCTTAGTTAAAAATCGCTCTGTGACTCGTAAATCACGAGCGAAGTTGAAAAAACGGAAAAAATATAGATAAAATTTTGCGCAAATTTTCGCCTAATAAATTTCCTGATGTGCTATAGACAAACAAAGGTGTTTGGCATTAACACTACGTTCAAGTGTAGAATAGCTTTACTTAAATCATCTACATCATATTTCTTAAATTCGCGTGTCTCTATTATTTTATTAAATAAATCATTACAGATTATTAAGAATTTACTTAAAGGAAAAAAGAAATATTCGGTATAATATTTAATAAGTGATTAATAATTAACTTACCTGGATAAAGAGTAAAAATTTGTTGACTGTCTGAACTTTCACTGTGCAATTACTGAAAAACCGAGAATCTTTCTATTTATTAATTTACATGAAAAATTTCGCCATTTTCATTAAAAAAATTTGAATTATACGCGACACGACAGTTCAATGGAGTAAACTTTAATTCTCTTTATACGATGTTTTTTTATACAAACACCTAGTTGGCTTCGTTTAGGCTCTGGTTCTGACATATATGGATCAACGATGTATCATTTAAATCTATAAAACCGGCTTTTATTACCGAAATGCCATTGTAATTATTTTTCATAGTGTTTTGTTGTACAAAATAAACATTGAATTTATCTTTTGTAATAAAAGCTATTGTAAATTCTAGAAAATATTCTAATTATTCACGTTTCGGGTGACATTAAAACGTTTAGTTTGCGTCATTAACCATTGTTTAAAGAGAAATGATTTTTTATTTGACAATACATCTCAGACGTCAAATACGCAACAACAACCACAATTGGATAATAGGTCTTACGTTAATGTATAATTGGAAAATGCAAAAATCGGCAACGTTATCAACAACAAAAAAGTCTACTGCTACTGTACTCACTGATATAACTAATAATGATAGGGAAAAGATAATCACTTAGCATCAAGAAAAAAAGCATGACAACAGAATGAAAAAATCATAGAGATGCAATTAGAAAAAAGAAAAAATACTGTAACAAAAAAAATCAACCTGAGAAATATAGTATATTGTACGTGTTTTTTTTTTTATTTTGGCAATTATAAGTAGTTACACATTGAATCATAAATATTATATAAATGGGGTACGATTATTTTTTAATATTTTTTTTTCTCAAAGTTTCTATTCTTAAACAAAAAAAAAACAACTAAAATTTCCACAGAAATATTAATTATAATTTTAAAAAATGTTCAATCATCTCTTTCAACTCAAGATTTGTATTCGTTAATCGAATCTGGTGTAAAGTTACGATACCTATACTTTGGGAATTACCTTTGGGTCAAAGATGTTGTATAGATAAGAAGTTGTGGAAGAAAGCATTATGTATTCGAACTTATGGATACTCAAACTAGAACTTCACTTATTGAAAATGGATTTGATTTATCATCATCACAAATTATTGGTTCGGATCAAGATAATAACAATAACAATAATAATAAGAAAAAATCGTGAATATTATTTCGTGAGATATGTAAATTAATAATAAATCGTTACGCATTTCTGGATTATTTTAAATTGGCGGTAGTCGAAAATCTTTGTCATTATAGTGATTTAATTGGTTCAATTCTCAAGTTACCTGGTGCCCTGAAAGTATTTAAGGATTAGAAATGAAAACAGATTTTTCCATTATATGAATAATTAAAATTAATTTATGATAATATTTTAAATATGGAATTGCCCGGAACTAAATATTTTCAAAATTTATTAGTATCTAAAAACGGGTAGAATGCCTATCAATTTTTTTCTTGTAGTTTACTAGAATGTAATTCAATATTTTGTCTATAATTAGTCAAAAAGAAACATTAAGTTGTCTTCGTTTAACATTAGCATGTCTTAATTTCGAAGGAAAATCATTATCATCAATTGGACAATTTATTTCGCTTTAAGAACTTTAAATTGAAGATTGTTTTGGATTGGCTTCATAATTTACCCAATTAGGTAGTTTTCATTATTTTCATTCAAAATATAAATTAGACGATTATCCTCAAGAATTTATCATAAAAATTCTCGAAACAGCAAATAAAAATTTAAAAAATATTTGTCTAGATTTATGTCCCATAATTACATTTGATATATTTTCAGCAATTTTAAATTATTGTACAAAGATTACCAAATTATCTTTATATTATTTAAGTCCTGAACAAGTAATAGCAATATTTAATAATAATTCTAATGAAGGATTTAATGCTAATGAATTATTATCTCGAATGGCCGAAAATGTACCAAAATCACTTGAAACTATTGAAATTCGAATGGATTATGATAATCCATGGAAATTTAGTGCTGATAGTTTAGAAAATTTTTTTGGAAGGTGGTGTAAAGGAAGATGAACAAATAAAAAATTTAAGGAATTACGTGTAGAACTTATGGAACAACAAATGGAACAAACATCACGATTGCCATCATTTATATCGAAAGTAATCAGCGATGAACATTTAAAGTTTTTGAAGTCAATTTGATATGGAAAAATAAATGCTCCATGAATATTTCAAATTACATACGTTTAAATTATTTTTTTTTAATAATTTATTTTATATTATTTTTTAGAAGTACCATTATAATATCTTTAATTGTTTATTTGTCCAATAAAAGAGTTGCAATCATTCTCAGAAATACATTGATCTATTTTATTAGTATAGTATTATTATTATTTTGATTTCTTATTTAAATATTTTTTTTTTATTCTTTTATTGGATGACGATAATGAGATGGAATTATGTATTTAAAGAAGGATATAATATTTATTTTCACTTAATTAAAAATAAATCAACTATTATGCTATTTGTGATGATTTCTTAACGCTGAAAAAATCAATTTTTTTAAAACGACATGATCAAATAATAGACACATGATGTCGAGTGATCGAAATTATTCACGTATAATAAATATTAGGTGACGAATATTATGTGACAAATATTTTTTCACATGTTAAAAAATTTTCTCTAGGATATCTAATATGAATCTATATTCGACGAGTGTTCAACACCTCTAGTGTGATATAGAGTTTTCGTTTATTAAATAAATAATAAAATGATCGTCAAATACTGCGTTTTAGACAAAAAAAGAACTCCAACCAATAATAATGTCATCAATATTACTACGAGTAATAATGGCAGAAGATAATTATTACATTTCTTAAGCGTCTTATTAAAATAATTAAAATAATTAAAATAGCGATTATATTGAGGCGGCACGAAAATAGCCGTGGTCACGGGGGATGGGATGATAGGTGTCACTATTTGGATGAATTATCCATAATCCAGGATAACTGTTTATTCATCCTGGTACGAAAACGTTTTTATGGATGACAGAGGATGAAGGTAAATAAAAGGAAAAACTATAAAATAGCTGCGGCTGGAAAGAAAGAAAGGAGATTCCCCTCTTGCGAACATATAATATTTTACCGTGACAATAAATTTTTTTTTAATAATTTTAATAACAAATAATTTCGTAATAATCCAAATAATTCATAATTACTTTTCTTACGTTTTTATAATAAATAATTTCTCAAATAATTTTAGTAATAACAAATACAAATAGTTTCGAAATAATCTTAATAATAATAAATAATTTTTGTAATAGTTTTTAATTTTTGTAATAATTTCGTGTATCGGAATAGCAATAGGGATAAGATACGCCAACGCAGTAATATATCTCTATTGGCCTATTTTTTTAATAAATTTTTGATAAATATTTTAATAAACTGTCTTACTCTTCTTGGCAAGTTATTTCAAAAAGTCTGTTAAATTTCGGTAGCGTACGAAGCAGTTAGTAAAGATACTTTTACTTCACTTGATCACCGTACCTTCAGATATTACACGTAATTGCATTGTTTGAGTGTCAGTAAGCAGGTAAGATCGACTGATTGCCTGTCTTGGGATATTGCATTATTGTGTGATTGATATAAATTTATTGGGACTGATTGGCTTAATTTTCGGCACAATATAGGCGGATTTATTTGATTTCTAATGGCTAAAAAAGAAATTTATAGGCGTTTTATAATATTAATTTCCTTTTTAGATTTGTTAGAAACAAATCCGCCCATATAAAATAATTTGATTTAGAAAATGAAGAAAATTAAGACGATGATAATAAACTTGTCCTCTTGAAATGATTATTGATTATGTCTTTGATATTAACTATAGAAGATGCTAATTATAAATTATTGTAAAATTGATTCATTAATTAATCAATTAAAATGGGGATTAAGTTATTTTTCGTTTCCGTTTACGATATGATATTTTTGTTATTTTATAACATACATAAAATAAGGATTAAGCGTCAGGACGTTTTATTAGCTTGAACTTTATATTTACCATTGTATTTTACAATTCAAAAAAAAAAAACACTAAATATATTACATGCATTAAATAATAATATTTTGTTACTTCGAGTTGCATGGTTTACCCCAGACAAAAGTATATGCATTCTGGGCATATTTTATCAGATGCCATTTTTCTTTTTGTTCAATTATAGTGTAGTATAAGGTATAAATAAACTAATTATTTGTTTGAATTCTCGCTAGATGCTTTAAAATTTGGTCATGCAAAAAATCACATCTGATATATAATTACTTATTTACAATGTATTTATGTATCTCATCTTGCAAAAAAGCTACTTTAATCCAATATAAAACTTATTATTATTTGTATATAATGAGAAGTAAAAATAACAATTAAAGAAGATTGATAAGTAAAAATAATTATAAAAATAAGGTGCGTGACGGTATTATCCCTAGTTTGCGTGTCGTGTCGTTTACCATTGTTTTAAAGGGAAAGAACTTTTATTTGACAATACATCTCAGCCATGTGACGATTTATAAATAAATTGTATTTGTATACATGCAGTACGCCATAAATAGTTACGCACTACATCATCATTGAATCATAAATATTACTGTATATGTGAAACGATAATATTTTTTTTCTTAAAATTTGTATCTCTTTGACAAAAAAAAATGGCAACTAAAATTCCCACAGAAATATTAATTAAAATTTTAAATAATGTTCAATCATTTGGTTCAACTAAAGATTTATATTCATCATTATTGGTTAATCGAAACTGGTGTAAAATTACTATACCTATACTTTGGGAATTACCTTTGGGTCAAGAATGTCATGCAGATGATAAGGAATTGAGGAAGAAAGCATTATGTATTCGAACTTATATATCATGTATGAATACTCAAGCTAGAACTTTACTTAT